TCCATGACATAGTATGTCCACCAGAGAGCACTAATAAGTAAGCTGTAAGTTGTCCCACTTAGACTATCTCGGTCACATTTTTTGTATGTAATCATCAGATTTAAAAAGAAGAAAAAACAACCAAATATTAAAAGGCTTCTAATAAAAGAGAAGGGACTGTGGTGTGCTAGTAAAGAAGCAAAGACTTCAAACACAGCATAGACCTCTAAATCTTAAATAAGTTCATTCATTTCATTATTTACACTCTGCTTTTCCTACTATGATGTCAAAGTATATGCTGTGAAAAAGGTCTGTTATGCACTATGTTGAGTGGTTGTGAGTTCTTTGTGTATAATCATGGCCTGATTTCCAGCTGGTCCGCCAGGTGAATGTGATTAACTGCAGTCAGCAGCTCCTCGCTGGTCACAGAGTGGAGGTTACCACTGCAACAGGGTGTATAAAAGTTTTCATGTTTACTTCAGCAGTTTTGTATAATGTTGCCTGTTAATTCCAGGTGACAATTCCTGACACACTAAATACTTTTTTGATAGAATTTGTTTGGCCAGTGGTCTAATGCTGATTTGAGTGCTGAGGAGTTTCTAAGGTACATCTGAAAAACCTTTTAATCCAATACAATGAAATAACTGTTGTGAAGTAGGCTATGTTCTGATGTCAACAAAATCTTAACATTATACTATGGAAATAGCCTATATTGTAAAATATTAAGGATAACATGTCACTAATATGATGCTAAGTTTTGATGCATCAACTATGCAAAAGAACATTGCGCTATGTCACTATAAATGAGACCTTCCTAATACATCTGATTTCCAGTTTGTTTTGTTGATAAAGGCACTAAAATACTTACTTGCAATGGACTTCCCCCTTGCTACGTTCTGAGTCAGGCTGTGAAACAAGGACAAGTGGTTTAAATGTTGAATGTGCTGCCATGCAGAATTAGTAAGGCATCTGCAGGTACTGCAGCTGTTATAAACAGTCTATTCAACACTCAACCTAAACAAACCTGCTAGTAAGACAGTATTGTGGGTGTTCTCTAGTAACCACACACCCCATTGTACAGTCTACACTTGCTTCTAGCCAGTTTTCGTAACAGTGACCCAATTTGTGCTGGGATAAGATTACATTCAGTCTACAAACTGTCATGGTCGCTTACAGAGACCACTAATGTAGGGGAGTTCTTCTTACTAGATGCATAACGGTCATCTCACAAGAGTGCTCATGGAAATACAGACATAGAATATGCCATATAGCTTAATAGCCATATATAGTACACTTCAGATAATGGCTATCAGTAGGAGTATTTTCAGTCTGTTCAAATGCTTTAACTACTAGCAAAGATGCAATCTGAGCACAGAATGAAATGATGCCTCCAGTGTCTCTCCTTTGACTTTTCATTCATTCTGACAGAAGGTGTTTAACATTTGTTAGACATTTATGCAAAAACTTCTGATTAAGGAAAACTGGAGGGAACACATCATAACTGAGCAGTTTGTGAGGAACCTGTACAATTTATTTTCATCTAAACAAGGATCTTTTTCTAAACATGGGGTCTCTTTTCATTGTTGCGCGAATGCACGCCAGATGTATTTGCCACTGAGGGGAAGGGACGCATCATCAGTTGCATCACTATTGTCATGTTTTGATGACGTTAGGAAGTGGATGACCTTAAACTTATTGAAGTTGAATGATACGAAGACCGAGGTTATAGTGTTTGGTCCAAATAACTCTGGTGATTTTCCCCCAGTTGATTTTGGTTCCTTGGAACGGTACGTGCGGTCCACTGTTACTCACCTTGGTGTTAAAATAGACTCTGTTCTTAGAATGGAATGTCCCTTTATATTAGACAGGCCCCTCGTTGTCCACTTTTAAAACCTATTTGAAGACTCATTTGTACCGTCTGGCGTTCGAACCAGTATGATCCTGTGTCTTGTTGAGCTTGTGATTTATGATAGGGGGTTGTTTTAAGTATGATGCTTTTGTTTTGCTGTTCGTTTATGTTGATTTTTAAAGGGGTGTTGTGGATATTGTGTTAAGCACTTTGGTCAGCTTCGGCTGTGTTAAATGTGCTATATAAATAAAGTTGTTGTTGATGATGATAAACCTAACCAAGTTGTTTTTGTCCCCAAACCTAACCGAACATTAACAGTTTCATAACTGTGTGTTTATGATTTATGATGAAGAAGGTCTGGTACACCAGCCAGTGATTAGATGGGTTCAAAGGTAGAGGGCAGTGAAATATATTGTTGTTTATGGTACATCCAGTTAACAGTTCAGAGAGAATTTGGGACTGATGAGGGACTAAAGTGCCCCCACCCTGCTGCCATAACTGAGCAAGTAATTCTCCAGGTCAAATTTCTATCTCGGTAAGCCAGACAATCTCACAGCGTGCACTCTTCTGGAAAATGTTGGCTTTCAGCTACTATGGCCATAGCTGGAGAAAAGGAAAGAGGTTATACAATTTCCAAAAGCTGGTGGATGCTTTGAAAGTCTTTAGTTTGTCCAAAACCAATCACAAAATGCTGGTGCAGTGCCAGCTTGCCCAGTAACCACATTGCAATGACAATGAGCAAATGACTGAATGATTACTGTGCTCATTAATGTGCTCTTAGAAGGTGTCAGTCTGTGAGAAGTTACCATACAACTAGACACGCAGGAAAGAAAAGTCTACACTGAGAAATAATGAGCTTTGAAAAAGCACATTTTCAGACATCCATAAATAACAAACATATATTTTTGGGCATTTCTTATTGTTAATAATAACACTTCATCCTGAAACATTTACAAGTAACATGTTTGGACTGTGTCTTTCTCCTTTAAATATCCAAAGTGCCAGGTTGCTAAATAGTCTGAGTGGAGAAGGAAAAATCACCCATACGTTTAAGGGTTAAACTACTTGACATGCTATCACAGCTGTTTTCAGCTTTATTACAAAGCATTTTCAATCATTACTTCAGTCAGATACACCAAAAGGTTTTCTTCCTGCTGTTACGTGTTCTAGTATGCATGTGGTGCCTATCTGTGAATGCATACCTCATTTGTCATAGGATGTATAGAGGCATGTGCACGTCTGATGTTCACAGTTGCCATGTAAGTCCACAGCAATGCACTTACTGGGAAATGCAGTTTTACCCATGGTAATCATATATACAGTGCATTTGCTGCTGAAACATGTGCAGTGTGTTTAATGGTAATAATTGTCTGCTGCCAAGTAGTTATAACTTCTTAATGTTAGTGCACAGTACACTATAGTCCATGCATTAGATGTGCTGTACTTTATTGTCCTCATGGGAGAGTGTTGTCTTTGTCTTGTTTGTTTTGAAAGGAGACAGTTGACAAAATATGTCACAGGAGCAGAGTGTGGGTGTCTCCCTGACCTCAATACTGAGCCATACATAGGATACATAGGTTTATCTATTATAACTCCCATTGCATTATTCAGGTGTTGAATAAGTTTAAAACGCAGCATGTATGTTATGGTTGCTCGGACACGAGTATGAACAAGCAAAGAAAAGACGGACCCAGGAGGCCGACTTCGGTGCAAGTAGTGTTTATTTACAGTGCAAATTTCAGTGAATAAAACAGACTGTTGCAGTATGATAAAGAGTCACCGGGTGTTGATCTGTGGCAGTGGGAAACAGTCGATGGTGAGATGGATGTTGCGGACGCTAGGGTCACTCCTGAACTGATCGTGGTTGAGGTGATGATGGCTGAGGAGACAGGAGCATGTAATGACAGTTAATGGCGACTGTGCATCGACCTGTATGGTGGAGACTAGTAGGGCTGAGTAGTTCCAGGGTCCAGAGGAGAGGTCCGTAGTCACAAAAAGAACAACAGGAGAATGTACTGAGAGTAATATGGAGACGAGGAGACTGAGAGTAAAAAAGGAGCAAAGAGACAAAATGACTAGACTAAGCAAAGGTAAAACTGTAGGACTAGAAAGAAAACAATGAGCAAAGGAACCTGAGAAACATGGATTGAACTGGCAAGGGAGTGAATGGTGAGCAGGGTATATATAGGGAGGTGACTAATAAGGTGCAGCTGGTGATAATCAGGGGAAGTGGGGCAGGTGTACTAGATTGTGTAATCAGGGTGAGGAAGCAAAACTAAAGTGAGAAAAGCAAGAGAGGAAGGTGCAGCCGGGCAAACCTGACAATGTAAGTTAATTACACAGAAAGTCTAAGCACAAATATGACTTACAGACATCTTCTGTTGATGATAAGGACTGGGTGGTGAAGGTGACCTTTTATTGGATTTTGAGTGTATAATTGGTCATTTGATGACCTGATTGAT